ATTTTCATTTACCATGATGCTGGCTATGGTTTGTTGTATATAGCCTAATTGAAATGTGTGCCCCTAGTCATTCTCCAGGGCTTTTATCATGAAGGATGTTAGGATTTGTTAAAGGTCTTTTCTGCATATAATGAGATGATCTTGTGATTTTTATCCTTGAGTCCATTTATGTTTTTGTTTTGTTTTGTTTTGTCTTCTTGAGACAGGGTCTCCTTGTAGCCCCAGCTGGCCTGAAAGTCACTATGTAGATTACCTTGAACTCACAGAGATCTGCCTGCCTCTGCCTCCCCAGTGCTGGGATTAAAGGTGTGTGTCACCACACCCGGCTTGAGTCTATGTGACAAAATTATATATATTTATTCTTTCATGTTCAACCATACCTACATCTTTGAAATCAACTTGTTTATAGCAAATGATCTTTGCGATGTGTTTTTAAATTTGATTTGCAAGTATTTTCTTGAGAATTTTTGTGTCCTATGTTCATTAAGGAGATTAATATATAATTGTGTGTGTGTGTGTGTGTGTGTGTCTGTGTATCAGAGTAGTATAGGCTTCATAAAGAGAATTTGGAAATGTTCCTTCCCTTTCTGTTTTACACAATTATTTGAGAGTGGTGTTAGTTCTTTGAAAGTTTGGTAGAATTCTGAGGTGACTCCCTCTGGACCTGCAATATTTTTCATTTTCTATGTCTGGCTTACTTTGGTGTTTCTGTTGAGACAGTTTGTTTCTCCTTTCTGAGTGGTACTGGATATTGATGCTGCAGGTGAAGGCTGCTCACTGAGAGGAAACTTTATACAAAATGGGAATAACTATCCATTCTGATACTTGTATAATTAGCAATATGGAAACCCAATATTTATGGCAAAAACCAGGCAAATAGCCAGGCATGCCCACACTTCTCATCCTAGCACTTGGGAATTCCAGACCAGCCTAGGCTATATAGTGAGACCCTGTCTAAAAAACAAAACAAAACAGAAACAAAAAACAGAAGGAAAAAGAAGAATCTATATAAGTAGTCAAAATATGCAAAATTATTCAGCATACTTACCCATTAGGGAAATGCAATGTAAATTACATTCAGATCAATCTAGTTTAAGGCACAGTGTTTCTTTCCAGGAAAGAGAAAGATCCAGCTTATTCTTGAGGATATAAGGTGAAAAGAAGGAGAAAAGGAGCCCTTTCATTGTTAGTGATAATTATTTTTTACCGAAATGAAGAGTACAACTACTCCATGATGCAGGTCTGCCACCACTGGCTATATCCATGACGGAATGAAAATATGCTGTGGTGGTTTCAACAAGTGTCCCTCATAGGCTCTAAGTGTTTGAACAGTTGATCAGTTGGTGGCACTATTTTGGGAGATTTAGGAGGTGAAGCCTTGTAGAGGAACTACATCACTGGGGATGGGCTTTTGAGAGTTCATAGCATTGCTCCACTTCAAGTTTCTCACTCTGCTTCCTGTGCCTGATTGAAGATGTTAGTGCTCAGCTTTCTGCTTCAGCTGCTTCCTGCCATGCCTCCCCCACCATGATAGACTTTTATCTCTCTGGAACCATAAACCCAATAAACTCTTTCTTTTATAAGTTGCTTTGGTCATGGTGTTTTATCACAGTAGCAGACAAGTAACTAATAATTATGCATACAATACATATGCCTGCTGGCCCATGTTTATTGTAGTGTCATTGACAATAGCCAGGATACTCTATCAGTCTAAGTTTCCATTGGTAGAGTCATGCATAAAGATGTACATACAAATGGACTATAGTTCAGCTATGGAAGAACCAGAGGATGTTGTTTCCAGGAACATAAATGGAAGTACACCACATCATATTAAGTGGGATATCAAACTTACAATGACAGATGTCACATGGCTTTTGTCATTTGGGAGAGTAGTGAACCAGTAGGATGTTAGAATGAGAAGAATAAGAGGTGGGTATGAATAATGAAGGTCACTTAATTTTTGCATTTGACACTCAGCTAGCCACAGGATAATTTCAGTTTATGCAACTGAATAATTTTTTCTTCACCTTTAAAATAAATTTATTTATTGATTTTTATGTATGTGTGTTTGTGGGGTGTGTGTGTGTGTGTGTGTGTGTGTGTGTGTGTGTGTGTGTGCATGTGCCTGTATGAATTTCTGTGCCACATGTGTACAGGTGTCCATAGAGGCCAGAGAACATTAGATCCCTCTGTAGCTGGAGTTACAAGTGTTTGTGACTCACCACATGGGTGCTGGGAACTGAACCTGTGTCCTTTGCAAGAGCATCAAGTGCTCTTAACTTCTGAGGCATCTCTCTAGCCCTCACCTTTAAAAAAAATTTCATTTTATGTGTCTGTGTATGCCTGAATGTGTATATGTGCAACATATACATGCAGGTGGTTTGCTGGGAACCAAACCTGGGTCCTTTGAAAGAACAGCAAGTGCCCCATCATTTATTTATTTATTTATTTATTTATTATTTATTTATTTATTTATGTGTTTGTTTGTCTATTTATTTTTCAATAAACGTCTTTATTAATCCACCTACAGGCATGCACATCATACAACATTAGCCAAAAGTTTTGATTTCCAGAGCTCATCTTTTATTTCACTTTATGTGTATTTTATTTTATGTGATTGTATTGCCTGCATGTATGTAACTATTGTTTGTTGTTGCAATGCCTATGGCGGTCAGAAGAGGGTGTTGGATTCCCCTGGAAGTGGAGTTACAGATGGTTCTTAGTTACCATGTAGGTGCTGGGAATCAAACCCGGGTTCTCTACAAGAACAGCCAGTTTCTTTCTTTTTTTTAAATAATAATTTGAGAATTTCACACAGGCATATAAGCATATAAGATATAAGCATATAAGATGTTTTGATCAAATCCATGCCCACTCTCCCTCCTCCAACTCCTCCCATATCTCCCCATCACTTTCTTTCTGGTAACTTCATGTACTCCTCCTCCTCCTCCTCCTCCTTCTTCTTTTTTTTTTTTTTTTTTTTGGTTTTTTTGAGAAAGGGTCCCCCTGTCCCCCCCTCCCCAGATATTTTCAAAAGTTTGGGCCTTTGGAATGAAGTATGTTGCTAAGAGGCCCAAGAACATTTTGACTTTTAGCCAAGAAACTGGCTACTTTTCTTTGGGATCTTTTTATACTAACTGCATAGCCAAGTCCTACCTCCTATTCTTATCACACCATCCTCTGAAGAGGTTACTCAACTTTCAGATAGGGAATCGGGATGCAGACCACTCTGGCTTCTTCCATGCTGAACAGGGATGCAGGCTGAGGCAATTGGAGTACCCCTTCAGTGGGTCTATCTAAAAGACCCCCAAATCGCATAACTCTTATCTTGAGGAGGAAAAGAAAGTCTGAATCGTGAATAGGAGATGTGAAGGAGAAGTAAAGGCAAGAGTAGTTAGCATTACAAGTTCTAGACAGGGAACTAGAAAAAAGTCAGAAACAGGGCACATTTCAAATGTTCATATGAGAGTCCACTGGACTTCCTTGACGAGAGCTTCCAAAAGTATCCCTCTATTGGGTTCCTCCTTTCAGGCATTTTGATAGCTGAAGAACAGCCAGTGATCTTAACCATTGAGCCATGTCTCCAGCCGCTCATCTTTTATTTTTAATAAAAATACTTATGTTATTTTAGAAAACATACCTGGACCCAGGTGATGAAAGAGATGTGCATAGACTAAGGTGGGTTAAAGGAAGTACTTGGAGGAAGCTGTCTTCTAATTTGGAAGGAAGATAATGTTCAGTAGAAAACCAAAGAAGGATTCTTCAGCTATTTAGAAAACAAATTTAAACATATGTATAACAATCCTTTCCCTAGCCTATATTTCTGCTCAGAAGAAAGATATTTGACCAGGATTGTATCATATTAGTAGTTCATGATGAGTATAAGTAGTTCTTATTTCACATATGAGAGAGGTGTGATGCAGGATGAGATGTGTACTATTAATATAATAGAGGAATGGAACAAGGGGGGAATAGCAGTTGAAAATTTGGGTGCAGACCCTTTCTGATGCTCTAGGATCATTGTGGAAGAGGGGCAGAAAAATTGTAAGAGCCACAGTGGAGGATAAATACTAGGAAACCATGTTGTCCAGGCACAGTAGGGCAGTTGTACATACTAACCCACAGTGTATGCATGTGACAATGTGCACAAGACCTGTGCAAGCCCAAGCCAAACAAAAACTCAGCATGGACAGGGGAAGTGGGCAAGAAGCCCCATCCCTACCAAAGGAACTATTGACAGTTGATAGCTGCTGGGAGGAGCGTCAATTTTCTTTTAGGGTGTGATGATGGTTGACCAGTCTCCAGAGGATAGACTCACAACCAAGCACATTTGGGGAACATGAATTAGACTCAGTAAGCCTTAAAGAATGATAATAGAAGACATGAAATCCTGGAGGATAGTAAGGTGGGAGTGGGGATTGGGGAGCGGAGGTCTGGATATGACCAAAATACATGGTATGAAATTCTCAAACAACAAAATATAAAGGATGTTGTGCACAGAATGCTATAGCTGAGAAGTAAGTGAATAATTTATCTCCACATTTCAGCACAGAATTATAAAAGCAACAAAGAGGGGGCTGGAGAGATGACTCAGTGGTTAAGAGCACTTGCTGCTCTTGCAGAGGACCCAGGTTCAATTCTCAGCATCCACCTGGCAGCTAACAACTGTCAGTTACTCTAGTTCCAGGGGAATCCTACACCTTCTTCTACCTCTGGGGCATTGCATAACATGGGTACACTTAATGAACATGCAGGCAATACACTCATGCACAGAAAATGACACAATAAATAAAAGATTTTTTTTAAAGCAACTAAGAAACTACTTAGGACTGCCATATGTATCAGTATGATTTGTTATATTAAGGACTAAAATGTGAGCATTTGTCATGATTCAGTATAATTTTAAACTTACATAAAGTGAGAAGTAATGGCTTTAATCTTTGAATTGAATTCACAGTATATTTGATTTATGAATAGTGATAATTTTCATATAATTTCAGGTGTTCATAAAATGTGTGCTCCAAGTGAGACTGGCCTGGAAAATCAAGAGATACATTTTTGGCAAATAGGAAGCACCAACAGCAATCTGTCAACTGAAGAAATGATTGAAGTAGGTAAAACATTGATATTGAGGACAAACCAAAGTTTGAATTTGAAAATGAAGAGTATAAATGGTTCAGAAATATTTGTGACCAAAGGCAGACTGTACGCTGGGTCCGTAGTGAGCCTGATAAGAGGCAGACTGGTGAAGAACTTGATAATGTAAATGTAACCCCCCTCTGGCATCCTGAACATCTTACTCTCCCTAACTAGATTCAAAGTTCTGTATTATGTTTAATATAATCAACCTGGAAAATTCATCTGCACAAAACCAATACTACTGACACATTAAATGTTTCATATTTAAGAGACCTATAATAAATTAAGTGAATATTAGAAATCTTTTGTTTGAATATTTTTTTATTTTAATCTTAGTTTTTGTTTGCATGTTTTTGAGTGCACTCATGCATGCAGTGTACATGGAGGACAGAAGAGGGCATTAAACCTCCTAGAACTGGAGATAAGGACACTTGTTAGCTACCATGTAGGTGCTGGGAACAGAACGTGGGTCCTCTGCAAGAGAAGCCATTGCTCCTAATTGCTGAGCCACCTCTTCAGCCCTGAAATCCTTTGTATAGCACTTATTGTCCAAGACATGTCTCATGTAAGTAAGCAAACCATTGCATGTAATGTATGTCTGGAACAAGACAAAAGTCAGAACAATATAAAATGCACATCAGGGGGAATTATTATAAATGTAGTTTTGTGAAAAATCTTTTTAAAAAGTAATTTATTACTTTTATTTTAATTTTATGTATGAATGTATTGCCTGTGTAGGTCAGAAGGCATCAAATCCCCTGGAACTGGGGTTATGGACTGTTATTAGGCAATATGTGGGTGCTGGGAATTGAACCTGTGTCCTCTGCAAGAGCAGTCAGTGTTCTTAACTGCTGAGCCATCTCTCCAGCAGACCCCTTTTAAGAATATTTTAGAAAGAAAAAAATATTTTTTTAGTATTTTATGCGTATGAGTGTATTGCCTGCATGTATGTGAGTGCACCCGTGTTGTGCAATGCCACAGAGGCCAGAAGAGGGCTTCGGATTTCCTGGAACTGGACTTAAGGACAGTTCATAGCTGCCATGTGAGTGTTGGGAATCGAACCCAGGTCCTCTGCAAGAGCAGTCAGTGCTCTTAATCACTGAGTCAAGAATAAAAAATGTTTTTTAAGGAAATCATCTCACAGAATATCAGAAAGTTCATGCTAAAAGCCCTAATGATATAAAATCTTTAACAAATTCTTTTGTCTGAAGGCAGGACAGGGGGAACAACAAGAAATCCATCAAGGTGCAAAATCCTGTGAATGTAAAGCGTGTCTGAAACTGTTTAACCAGAAGTCACAACAGGGAAAAAATACCATATACCACTCAAGTGTGAAACCCTATGAATGCAAGGATTGTCAGAAAGCTTTCTCTTATAAGTCAACCCTCACTGAACATCAGAGAGCTCATACAAGAGAGAGGATCTATCAATGTAAAGACTGCAGTGACGCTTTCCCCTCCAAGTCAGAACTCATTGCACATTATAGAACTCATGGAAGTGAGAAGTCCTTTGAATGTACACAGTGCGGGAAAGCTTTCTTCTGCAAGTCAACCCTCACTGTACATCAGAAGAAGCATGCTGGTAAGAAGTCTTACGAATGTGAAGAATGTGGGAAAGCCTTCTATTATAGGTCAGTACTTATTGCACATCATACAACACAGAGAAGAAGCCCTATAAATGTGAAGAATGCAGTAAAACATTCTGCCACAAGTCACACTTAACATCATAGAACTCATACAGGTGAGAGACCCTATGAATGTAAGCAATGCAGGAAAGCTTTCGTCTGCAAGTCAGCCCTTAATAGACACCAGAAAATCCATACAGGTGAGAAGCCTTATACATGTGAAGAATGCAGTAAAACTTTCTTCTACAAGTCAGACCTCACTGCACACCATAGAACTCATGCAGGTGAGAAACTTTATGAATGTAAAGAATACGATAAAACTTTTTACCATAAAGGAAGCTTAGCTCGTCATCATAGAACTCATACAGGTGAGAAACCCTATGAATGTAACACTTGCAGGAAAGGTTTCTACGAGAAGTCAACTCTCATTGTACATCAGAGAACTCATACAGGTGAAAAGCCTTATGAATGTGAAGAATGCTTGAAATCATTCTCCTGCAAGTCTGAGCTCATTGTACACCATAGAATCCATACAGGAGAGAAGCCCTATGAATGTGAAGATTGTGGAAAAGATTTCTACTGCAAGGCAACTTTCACTGTACATCTTAAAATCCATACAGGTGAGAAACCCCATGAATGTAAAAAATGTGGTAAAGCTTTCTACCGCAAGTCAAACTTAAATCGACATCATAAAATTCATAGAGATGAGAAACCTTACAAGAAAGCTTTCTTATGAAGTCAGAACTGACTCAACATCAGAAAACTCACACATACACATGAGAAGTCTTCTATAAAGAATATATAAAAGTGCTTTCCTGTGACTCATCTTAGTCAACATCAAAAACTTCATACAGCCAGATGTGGTGGCACAAGCTTTTAGTACCAGCACTCAGGAGGCAGAGGCAGGCAGATCTCTGTGAACTTGAGGCCAGCCTGGTCTACATAGTGAGTTCCAGGCCAGCTGGGGCTACAGGGAGACCCTATCTCAAAAAGACCTTACCCCCCAAAAAACCTACCACCAACAAGAAAACATACAATGAGAAAGCCTATCAGTATAAAGAATGTAGGAAAATGTTCAAATGTTTTACTATGAATCAGTCCTCACTCCACATCAGATAATGTAAGAAACCCTATAAATGTGAAGGTGAAGAATGCAGGAAAGATATATATATATATGTCTTTTTGAAGCAGGGTCTCCCTGCAGCCCCGGCTATCTTGGAACTCACTATGTAGACCAGGCTGGCCTTGAACTCACAGAGATCCACCTGCCTCTGCCTCCCAAGTGCTGGGACTGCCGGTGCGCCATCATGCCCAGCTAGGAAAGATCTTTCATAATGCATACCTCATTTAATATAAAAGAACTCAGGAGGAACTTTAAGAATGTAAAGAATAAGAAAGCTTACAGGTTGTCAGTCCTCTATTGACATTATAGAGTGTGTAGGTGTTCAAATTGATGAAGACAATTTGGATGAAAACTGTGTACCATAATGGAAACCTGCAACATCTGAAAACCTCTATAATTATGAGACACCATGTCTCTAACGATTTATTATAAGACTGGGTGTGGTGACTCATGCCTTTAATCCAAGAATTTAGGAAGCAGAGGCAGGTGGATCTCTGGGAGTTTGAGGCCAGCCTGGTTTTCATAGCAAGTTTCAGGCCAGTTAGAGCTACATAATGAGACCCCGTTTCAAACAAAAAAACAAACAAAGAAACAAACAAACCCAAACCAACGAAACAAACAGTATATTTCTCCTGTAGTTTTCTAGGTGAATCATACATATGAAAAAGCCTATGAATTTAAAGAGTATGTGAAAGCTTTGAATGATAAATAAAATTTTGGTTGACATGTGAGTATACAATCAGGAGGGCAACCATGAAAATATAAGGAAATCAGAAAACATTTTCTAACCAAACATTGTCACTTGAATGGTGAGGGACCTTAGTAAAGAAAATAGGAAAACTTTGAAAAATAAGTCAGGCCATACTCTACATCTGAAAACTCATATAGATGAGAAACAGTATACAACAAATAATTTTTTCAGGTACAGTGGTCCATGTTTTTAATCCAAGCATGCTGTGCTATAGGTTCATTGGGATTTAGAGATTCTAAACTAACCTGAAGACCAAAGCAAGGCATAATATCCACAAAATGCATGAAAGCTTTCTACTAGTTCGCCTTACATAATATCAAAATGCACATTGGTGCCTGGTGTGGTGGCACATGGCTTTATCCCCAGAGGCAGGTGGATCTCTGAGTTCCAGGTCAGCCTGTTGTACATAGTGAATTCCAGGCCAGCTAGAGTTATATAGTGAGAGGTTCTTCAAAAACAAAAACACATTGTTGTCAGTCCAAAGTAAAGAATGTCAAAAAATATTTAATAGAGTTAGAAAGTCTACAGGCATAAGAAAATAAAGAATGGCAAAAGCTTTTGGTAGCACTTGAAACACTACTGGCATCACAAGCTCTATAAAGGTGATAAAGCACAAGGTTATAATGTAGGAAAAGAGGCCCCTGTGCTTCATCTGACTTGTATCAGTGACCAATACTGGAAATCCTGGGAATGTAAGGACTGTAGAAAACTGTTGAAACTCACATATTAGCAGGGATCAAGTCACTTATAAAAATAAGAGCACATTTGAAATTAAAGAATTAGTTGGATTGGGGTTGTGGCCTGGTGGCAGTGTGCTTGAAGCCTGTGTACTACCTTTTCATTTATATTGAAAAGTTTACATCTCTTATTTTTCTTTTTTCTTTCTTTTTCTTCCAGGGCTTTGTTTATTATTGACAATGATTTTAGAGATAACACTGAAACATGCTTAACATTTCTAGGTAAAATCCCAGATTTCTGTTAGTAAGAAGAACTTTTTGTAGCTCTTCAAATGGCTTGGTGACAAAAAGTGAGAAGTGAGCTTCTAATCAGAAAAATCTAACTAGAAGAAAGAAAATATAGAAAAAATACAGTCATAGCAAGAGAATAAAGACGGCCCTTTCCAAGGCCAAGGGCTGACAACAGTCACCATGAAGTCCAAGCCTACAACAGTAACACTTAACAATATACAAGAAAAATACTTTTCATTTGTTATAAAAGGGCTACTTTACATAAAAAGTTAAAAATACACTTAATATAAACCCCAAAGGAAACACAACTTATTAAATGCTTGAACTACATGGAAAATAAAAAAAAGGGACATTGAGTTCAACTACATTTACTGTATTGCCTCGATATACTCTATTCCTTTTTACTCTGTACAGAAGCTCAAATTCTGTGGTGTCAGATATATTTCTTATTTTATTTTTTTAAAAAAATCTTGACTCCCAAGCCACTTAGAGATTTGCCTGGGCTTGTAGTGGCAATCTGCTCTTTGTAACAGAGTGCTCTGTGGTTTCTTCGCTTTAGATCTCTCCACTGGGTTAATGACACCTGTTATTTTTCTGTTGAATATTTTTGCACAGGGATCAATGGTTTGTAAATAGAAACATTCATGTGGAAAAACTGCATCAAATTTAGAATGCCTTAGGGATGTTTGTGTGATCATTTTTAGTGGAATAAATTTTCATAGTTGTTTTTGAGCCAAAATCTTAATCTGAAGCCCTAATTATTCTCATATTCATGATGCTCATCATTCACGTGCTGACTGGATAGCGTCAGTTGTTAACTTGATGCACCTGGGAAGAGGGAGCCTCAGTTGGGCAATTGTTCCTACTGGATTGGCCTGTGGGCATGTCTGTGAGTCATTTTCTTGATTATTGAATCATGTGAAGGGTCTACCCCACTGTGGGTAGTGCTACTCCTGGGAAGGTGGTCCTGGGTTATATAAGAAAGAAGGCTGAGGGTCTACAGAGATGACTCAGTGGTTAAGAGCACTGGCTGCTCTTTCAGAGGACCTGGGTTCTGTTCCCAACATTCACATGGTGGCAAACCACCATCTGTCCGTAACTTCAGTCGAGGTTAATCTGATGCCCTCTTCTGGCCTCCATGGGCATTGCATAGTATGGGAATATGGGTGCACTTCTATACATGCAGGCAAAACACATTTTTTTTTTTTTTTTTTTGTTTTTTTGGAGCCAGGGTCTCCTTGTACCCCCGCCTGTCTAGAAACTCACAAGGTAGACCAGCCCTGTCCTTAAACTCAAAGGGGCCCGCCTGCCTCTGCCTCCCAAGTGCTGGGATTAAAGGCGTGCACCACCCCGGCTGGCCAAAATACATTTTATACATACTCACAGCTCACAGCTACTCAGTACAACTACACTTCACACTCAGATGCCTTAGAAGTCTTAGCTCCAGTCACAGAAGAAGACCTGAAGAAGCCTGAAGAAGACCGCATTCCAACTTCAGGAATTTCTACAGCTGTTAAAGTCACTGCTCTAGTTGTCGTTTTGAGTGTAAGATTCTTTGGCTTCTCCAGACATTATGTGACAGCTTGGGATACTTTTCTTCATCCATGACAGTTGAAAATGTCCTCTAGATGACTCCACTTGCAGCCACTCCAGATGAACTTCTATATAGCTGCTTCTTAACTCTTTAGTCTGCAAATCTGATGAAAGAATATCACTTCTCTAAACCATAGCAGCCTATAGCGACATGTCTAGAATGTAAGCAGCACTCTTATTCTCTGGTCACTGAAAGAGCTACTTGTCCTGTGCACTTCATTAGTTGCAACAATGAAGCCTTATCCAAGTGGTTGATATGGGCTTGTGGTTGTTGTACAAGGGGAGATGCCTGAGCTGAATCCACAAAAAGCAGACAACTCAGCAACTAAACTGTGGCTGGAAAGTTCCAGAAGTTAGCTAGAAGCAGAGGCTATACAGACTCCCAAGACTCTGAAAGGGTGCTGAGTTGGAGATAGACTGTGAGTAGTCAAGAGTTAAAAAGGTGTAAGACTGTGGATTCCTGAGGTAGAAGCAGAGGCACAAGCTCTACCTGCAAAAAGAGTTCCAGAGATCCAAGACTAAGGAGCCAATGAAGAACCATGTCAAAGAGTAAGGACCTCAAACTCCAAAGCTCAGATTTCTAACACTAAGTGTTGACTCCAGGCTGAGAAGGTGGAACTCATAGCTCAGAGCTATAAGCAATTGGCCACAAAACCCTCAAACTATAAGCCTTTGGTCCTAAAGATCTACAGATGGAACTGTTGCTTTGAAAAATCAAGACACACAAGCCTCTGGTGATAGCACAAAACAAATACAGCCTGCATATTCAGATCTCTTCAAGTAGAGTAAAGGAACCTTCAGGTAATTAGGGTTGTCGACCAATCTACAACTCAGTCCAGTTGCTAGGCATTTGTGCCATGGCCACATCAATGTAGTTTCACATGTTACATGTTATGGTATGTTCTTTCATACTGTCAGTATTCTCTCTTTGGATTGAACCAAAATCCTGTACCCTGTGAGTGTTCTCATTGGTTATCTCTCCAGTCTGAAGCATATACATGTTTCAAGACAAAATATAATGTTCACATGGATATGCTTTCTCAATAATAGCATGCAGGTTGACAAGGTGTCTAGAGTAGGACTTGGCCACGGCTTTCTTGGTATTCTGGGATTGCTTAGGAATGTCAAGGCACCCTTAGAGTTCGTGTAGCTTGTTAGGTGGAGTCTCTCAACCTTTAGAGCATAGGCTAAAATTGCTGAATCAGAACAGATTTATTTACTATTAAGTGCAATAAGTTGGCAAAATTAAGAGACTTTGAAGCATTCATTATCCAGCAATAGGACTATCCAAATGAAATTTATGCTGTCAAAACAGTGGTTCAGTTGAAATGGGGAGCAACCTCAGTGTATCAACACAAGACCTCTCATACAGTGGCTTTACTCTGCATCAGAGAAAAAGAATCAGAAT